TAAAGGCTAAAATGATGATATATGACTTTCATAATTTTAAACCATGTAGTAGTCTATTCCTCATTATGTTTGAATGACTGTCTCTTGATCTATGTAAAGGTTCTACTTGAGAACAATGAAATGTTCTGGAATTACTGTTATTTGCAATGTTAGGGTTTGCTATGAGCTACACAGGCAATTTTCTTTGCATAGCCAATAAAATACAAGTAAACATTTTTCTGGTACTCTCTGCTTTCAGTCAAGATATATCTGGTGTCAGCCATGATACCCCTCCTTCCATGTCCACTTCTGAGCCAGGCTTGAATTTTTTGATAGCTAGTTGTTTTCGAGTCAATGTACCAAAAACAAATGGTTGATGTTCAGTTATTTCAAGAGATAGCATATGATCAAGAGCCAATGCATAGATGGAAGAAGTCCAAGATACATTGAAGCTATTTATTTACAAAGAACAAGGCTCCAGGAATTAATGGAATACAAACTTTCAACAAACTGATGCAGCACTGGAGGCACTCAATACACTAAGTGCTACATATGCTAAGACATTTGGAAGACAGCTACATGACCAACTAATTGGAAAAGATCCATATTTGTGCTTATTCGAAGGAAAGGTGACCCAATGGATTGCGGAACTCATCAGCCAGTAGCATTAATATCACATGCAAGTAAAATTTTGCTAAAGATAATCTTAAAATAGCACAACAATACATTAACAGAGAACTTCCAGTGTTTCAAGCAAGACTCAGAAGAGAACATGGAATGGGGGCTATCATTACTGAAGTCAGATGGATCTTAGATGAAAGCAACAAAAAGACTAGAAAGATGTTTACACGTGCTTTATTGACTACACAAAGATTTGCAAGCTATGGACAACACTGCAAATAATGAGCATTCCAGAACACTTAACTGTACTCATGAAGAACCTTACATAGACTAAGAGGCAGCGATTGGAAAAGAGCAAGGGAACATTGAATGGTTTAAAATTAGGAAAGGAGTTCAACAGGGTTGTATTATTTCATTATACTTATTCAAACTGTATGCTGAGCACATAATTCTAGAAGCTGGATTACATGAAGAAGAACATGGCATCAGGATTAGAGGAAGACTCACTAACAGCCTGTGAAATGCTGATGATGCAACCTTTCTTGCTGAAAAATCTCAAAGACCACCGCCTTCTGTATGGGTTGCACTTCAGTGAAAGAAAACAATAATTCTCACCACTAGACCAATAAATAACATCAAGATAAATGGAAAGAAGACTGAAGCTGTTAAAGACCTCATTCTGTGCAGAGCAACCATCAGCACTCATGGAAACAACAGCCAAGAAATCAAACAATGTACAGCATTAGGCAAATCTGCTGCAGAAGACCTCTTTAAATTGCTGAAGGGCAAAGATGTCAGTTTAAGAACTAAGGTGCATCTGATCCAATCCATGATATTATAACCTCATGTGCATGTGGAAGTGGACAGTGAATATGGAAGACCATAGAAGAATTGATACATTTGAACTAAAGGAACTGCATGGTCAGTTTGACTGGCAAGATTCGTGATTTAAGTTTACCAGCTGCTACTCAAAACCCTTATAAGGGTCTCTATGAGCCAGAACTGACTCAATGGCACTGAACAACAGTAACAATGTGTGCATGTGAAAGTTGAACAGTGAATAAGGAAGACCAGAATAATGGCTGCATTTGAGTTATGGTGTTAGAGGAGAATACTGAAAGTACCATGGACTGCCAAAAGAACAAACCAATCTGTGTTGGAAGAAGTACAGCCAGAATGTGCCTTTTAAGCTAAGGTAGCCAGACTTCATCTCTCCTACTTCAGACATGTTTTTAGGAGGGACCAGTCTCTGGAGAATAACATCATATTTGGTAAAGTGGATTGTCAAAGAAAACGAGGAAGACCTCCAATGAAATGGATTGGCACAATTGTAGCAGCAATGCTCTGAAGTGCAGCAACAGTTGTGACGTTGACCAAGGGCCAGGTGGGTTTTTCTTCTGATGAGTTTAGGCTCTCTATGAGTCAGTACCAACTCGATGCCACCTGACAACAACCTGTTTTTGTGCTGGTGTGGTGTTGTAGGATAAGCACTGGACTGCAAGCTCATTTAAATTGCAAGATTGGCTGTTCAAGCTCACCAGCCACTCCTAGCAAACCCTATACAGGGTCGCTATGATTGAAACAGACTTGATGGCACTTAATAACAACAGCATCACCCTGTTTTTGTGCTGCTGCAAGGATATGACTTATTCATAACATATACTTCCATTTTTGCTCTGATTAACTACTATGCTGAATTGGGAAAAGATAGAGAATTGTTTATGAGAAAACAACAACAATAACAAAAAACCCTCTAGTGCCTTAATCAGAGAAGGTTATATAATTTTTTGTTCATTACTTATTTTTCCCTTACACATTATGACCAATGGACAAGCCCTATTAATTATGATGAGGCATTTTATTATTATAAACTTCATTATACAACTTCCCCAAAATCTGTCCTTTACATTTTGTCCAACAAAAATATATAATTTTATAATAGTCAAAACAACAGCAAAACTAGCTTAATAATGATATTGTAAACATCTTCTCTTCACCCTTATACCTTTTCAAAAGCAGCTTTTGCTCTAGGCATAGCTTCACCATTGTACACCCAGTTTTAACAGCAGACAGTTTGGATTTTGCCTTCCAACTCTATTCTGATCAGAGGAGCTTCTTTGTCCTGAACTCTTCTGGTATCTCTGCAGTGCTGACTCTCTCATTAAAAACCCTGTCCTTCAACTCAAACTTTTGAGTTTACATGAAGACACAACTTCCTGCATTTCTCTCTTAGCTTTCTAAAGATTTGTCTCCTCACTGGCCTAGAAGGCAGGATAAGAAAGGAAGCAATTGGCAAATTTAATTAACAGAAGGTTTTGCAGGCTCTGAGTATTTACTTTAAATGAAAAGTATCAGTAGATAGTTTATATTTTTGATAATGTAAATATGTAATTATTGTAATATTGTTGTTGTTGTTAAGTGCCATCGAGTAAGTTCTGACCCCTGGCGACTGTGTATATGGTTTCTGAGGAGCAACTGTTGGGTTTGAACCACAGACTTTGCAGTTCACACTGACCATGCATTCCAATACCTTGTCCTACAGTGCCACACCAGGAATCCGTAGTGCAAAGCCCAAACCTATGGCTACTGAGGACTTAGATTAAAAGCGAACATTTGAATGTATAGTACGTGGAATGCATAATTTTCTAATTCTTGTAAAGATTGAATGACTAAATTCAAAATAATAAATAGTATTAAATTTTACTTGCAATGCAACATAACATACCATAAAAAGGTGATAGAATCACCATCGTGATGTTGTTTATGCTTTAAATATGATAACGAACTACTATTTTGATCCTCCTTGGTCAAAGAAGGGCTAGATAAGTAACCGTCATTGAGCGGATTCTAACTTATGAACAACAGAAGCAAACATTACCTACTCTTCCATCATCCTCACAACCACTGGCATATTCACATCCATCTCACTGAGGGTCTCCCTCATCCTTGGTGGTCCTACACTTCACTAAAGAAGGAATCTGCTTCCAGGGGTAAGGTCCTCCTGATCACACAGCCAAACTGAGTGAGAAGATGTTCCAAGGTTCACACTGGCTAATTTTCAGATTTAGCTTGTTACGTCTTCCTGCCTATTCTGTCTTTGTCTGGAAGTCCCACTGAAGCCTGCTGGTATTTTCATTATACATAAGAGCTTCTAGCATTATCCATTAGCCACCACAGTATAATGAACTGGCAACTGTGTGGTAATAAAAAGGACTAGTTCTCTTGAAAAACGATTGAGCATTCAAAAATAGATTCTTAAGAAAGAGAGGGACCATTTATTTAGATGGGGATATAAAATCTCTCCTATGCATGCATATTCTCCTGCCCTTACTTTACCACTCATGTTGTATTTGAATTTTCTATTTATTACTATATATTAATTTAGAAATGAGAAATGTTTAAAACAAGATGTGTTGTTGTTAGGTGCTGTCAAGTCACATTCAATTTGTAGTGACCCTATTTAAAACAGAGTGAAATGCTGCCTGACCCAGTTGTGTTTGACCTCATGGCTGGTCATTGTATCAATCCATCTCCTGTGTGAATTCATCTCCTCTTTTTCACTGACCTTCTACTTTGACAAGCAAAGTAAAAAAGATAAATCAGTGTTCTTTTTCAGAGTTTCATTCTTCTCTTTTTCTCCTATATCCATGCAAGTCTGTATTAACCCAAAGTTAATCACCTGTATACCTGGATAGAGATAGAAAAAGTTGTTGTTGTTGTTAAGTGCCATCGAGTTGGTACTGATTCCTAGTGACCTTATGCACAGCAGAATGAATTAGTTGTTTTTCCTAATTTTTAATTTAATGTGATTAAACCTATGTTGTGGTTGTTAAGTGCCATTGATTCAGTTTCAACTTATAACCACCCTGTTTTCTTAGAAGTGGCTGGGGGGCGGGGTGAACTGACAACCTTGTGGTTAGCAGCACTTCTGCTTATCCTAAAGCATCACACCAGGACATTGGAGATATCTGTAAGTGAATATAATTGAACCCAATAGAGAAAAAGTGAAACCAAACTTTATCTTAGAAAAATCAAAAACTAAGCTTTTGCAAATTTGAAGAAAGGTATACAGAGAATTCTTGGTCAACAAATTTTGATTTTACAAATACAAGTAGACTTCAAAAAGTTTGAGAAAAATTCCATTACAGTATAATTCCATTTTTCCTGAAAGCTTTGAAGCCCCCTTTGTATGTGAAAAAGCTTAGATTTGCATGTAGCACAATCGAAGGAAAATAGGTTGCAACGACAAGATAAGACCCTATCTTATCTTTTCTTAATGTGTGCACAGTCAATGAATCTTTATTGCTTTATTAGAATATGCAACTTGCCATGCCAAGATTTAATTAAAGTTTAAATATTTGAAGGGGTGGTGATATGTTGTGTCTAATAAAAAAATTTACCTGTCTTAGGATCAATAGAGAAATAAGGTTGTCCCTGAAGAATGCTATAAACGACTCTGGCGCTGTTTCCATAGGTTGGATCATCTGCATCTGTGGCCTTGACCTGGAGCACATAGGCACCTGGAAAATAAGACAAAAGACTCCTGTATTTTCATTTTTAACAGAGCCCAAGGTCATGTGTATAGTATACCTGACTCTATGTTATTTTTAACTTGATGCCACAAATGTCTGAGAGCACTGAACATAATTAAAGCATTAAAGCCACAATGGTGGATAGCAGTATAGCACTTAGTACAAATGCACATACCCTAACCATCTATTTTAATAGGCTATGGGCTGATTTCCAGTAGCTGATCCTTGGCACTGAAATTCAACATTGTCATCTTAGTGACTCATTTGATAAAGAAAATATGTGCATTGCACATATGAGCTACTCTTCTTACTGTTGATTTAGTTTCATGGTTAGGATGTCAATGGAGTATCTTAATAGGTTTAAGACTTGCTACATTTTCCAGAGTGCTAAGCATTTTGAAGTGCAATCTTAACATTTGAAAGTAACAATGTGGCACATGATGCCTCTAATTAGGGAAAGAATTTTTGACTAATTAAAGAACCATAACTAATTGCAAAGACCACTGTGAGGAGCACCACTGTATCTGAAGCCTGAATTAATCTAAGAATCCTTTGACAGAGGAGGACTGTAAAGGCATCATTTCCTTGTCCTTCCCTTTCCTTTGTTTAAACAGAGTATATATCTATGTACTAAAGTGGATTTCAAGGGATTAGTGTGAGGCTTTTGTGTATGTGTCTGTGTGTGTGTGTGTGTGTGTGTGTGTGTGCTTTCTGTAAATTTTTATCATTTGAACTCAAAATCATATTTGTCACTGTCTAAATTTTTAAATGATTATTTCTTCCTAAAATCCCATTCTATGGTATTATTGAGTTATTACTGAGTTCAACAAATCATAATGAAAAATTTCAAAGCAAATACAGATAAAACAGGTATCATGAGGACAATTGGAAGAACATCACTACTGAACATGAAGGGAATAAATATGTATCTAAAGTTATATACAGGACTAAATCCAACACTTCTTTAGGAGACCTTCACATTAACTGCAAACTGGCTCATTCTTATTCAGTTACTCACCGAGGTTTTTCTCATAAGGCGCTAGAAAACTGGACTAAAACCAAATCTCAAAGCTAGTTAGTAAAAGCTCAGAGAATGAATCATCTCTGCACCACTTGTTTTAAATTTAATGAAGTGTTAGGGTGGTGATAAAAGTGAAAAATTTTACTTTTATGTATACATTCAATGTCAAATGCTATCTTTTAAGATGCTTTGGTGAATTCAAGCTGCATTGACAGATGAAAAATACATTGTGTTATAACAACTTTTCTTAGGAAAGGACATTTCTAGAAGGAAAATAAGCAGACATTGCTAAGACAAAGTGTATTGATGATTTTATCCATCATCATCACCAGTATTTACATTACTATTAACAGTTACTTGACAAATGTCTGTTTCTGTGAGGCATTATATTCTTGACTTAAGGATTCACCGAAACTAGTAATGTAGGAATGAACACCTTACCTAAAAAAAGTAAATTATCTGCTTTCCAGCAATTATTCTTTCTTCAGATCCCTCAATTTAGTCTCTCCCCTATCACTTCATCATACAACTGCTATATAGACATATCTCTAAATACTAAATTATGTCTCAATCCTATATACACACTTTGCCATTGAAAAGCTGTGAATAGTTTCACTCTGCTGATTCATTTGAAGGAAACAATTATTATATCTACTAAGATCTAGTTATTAACAAATGTAATAAGTGCTTACCTACTCCACACATGGGAAAAGTACAATGGGGAATAAAAAAAATGAACAAGATTGTGTCTTCCCTTTTCCATCTTGGGTTTTAATATTAATATGAACCTTTCACTCTGTATACTGTGCAAATATTTCCTCCCAAAAGTAGTAGTAAATTATTTATGTTTATAGTTTTTCGTTTTAAAGCTCAGATATTTAAATTGAGGCATTGTGTACTAAGCCTTAGAAATAGCAGATGTTTATCATACAATCCCACTTTATATGCTGCTTAAAAAGATCACAGAATAGTAGGAACCATCACTTCTGTAACATAGTTCTCTAGTTTCATTCATAATAACACAAATAATCACCCACTCAGATATAATATAGATCAATACTGGAAATCATCCAAGAATGCTTAGAGCATCCTCTTAAAGTATTTACAATACCGTTAAACATTCTATATGTGGTTTTGTTGCCTGTTCTGTCTTTGACAAAATCAATGAAAAAAAAACAAAAAACAAAAAACCAACAACAACAATGCATTAAGAAACCTTGATTATTTATCTAGAACATGTTTAAAAGCTTTCTTTCTCATGTAGTTTCTGAGTAGTATAAATGACTAATTGTTCAACTACTAGACTAAAGATTGTGTGTTGAAAGATACAAAGACAGGCCTGGTAATATGCTTCCACATTGTTACAACTTTGCAAAACTTATGTTGTGGTTATATTCTGCACATTTAGGGTTGCCATAAATTGACATGATAGCAACTAACAATCTTTCTTAGTACTGCTCAGCATACCAATTGTTCCTGCTATTAGTGAGTATGAAGCTTTTAGGACGTGGGAACAAAGGTTGTGACTGAGAAAACGTCAAGGTGCAACAATAAATAGCATCATCCCTGATTTCTACAGAAATCATATACTACTCATATTTAGCAGCCAGTATGGAATTTATGCTCATTTCCTGCATATTCAAGGTTGACAATGTAATCACCTGAAATGGTGAAGTACAGAGAGAACGGAGTTCACAGAAAAACCATCTGGAGATAAGAGCATAGTGGGTAACACAAATAACTGAACCTCTTCACATTTCCATATAACACTGCTCTGATTAGCAGGAAATTATTAATATTAATAAATTATTAATACCCAAAGCTTTCACTAAAAGCTACTACTACATATGCAATTTTGAATTTTAAGCAGTCATTGACAGATTATTCTTTAGTTACATGTAATGTCTAGTAGAGCAAAGGATAGAGAAATTGATCACTGAGTGGTAGAGAACAATGATAAACTAAGTGGTGATACAAACTGGAACTCAACAAGGATTTCATGGACATAACTTAATTAAATATGATCAATGTTTTCTAAGAACCGATTTGAGTATCATTTTTGTATGCATATTTTGTTGAGAAGTCCCATAGAGTTGGTTCCAATCGATAGCAGCCCTTTTGCAGTTGTGGGGAACATCTGGCCCATGGACCATATAAGAACAGTGAAATCATTTAGTCTGGCCTTGCCAAGGCCAACCTCAGTTCCAGCCACAACATTATTGCTGTTGTTAAGTGCCTTAGAATCGGTTCCCACACATAGCAATCTGGTACAGAGTTTCCAAGGAGGGGCTGGTGAGCTTGAACTCCTGACTTTGCTGTTCAAACCACCTTGCAGTCCAGCACATCAACCTGAAGCATCCCATGAGGACTCCAACCATCATATAAAGGTGACTAAATTAAATGTTTGACCATATACCAGGCAAAATTTTAAGTGGATAATTTTATATGACCTGCCAATGATGTACATTTTGGCAGTAAAAAAGGTTCCCCACCTCTTCTTTATAGAGTTCTCAAGGCTATAAATCTTTGAAGAAACAGAAAACCTTATCTTTCTCCCACATAGTGAGTGGTGGACTCAAACCACCAGCCTTGTTGTGGACTGTCCAGTGCTTATCATTTAGAACTACCAAGATTCATATTATGCATATATGTGTATGTAATATATGCATATAAATTAACAAGTAGCATTAACTTGTGATACTATAAATTCAGTAATGTTGTTGTAAAGTGCTATGGGGTTGGTTTGGCTCATAGTGACCCTGTATAGGGTTCACATTTTCAGTCCAGTGCTGATCCTACAGCACCACACAAGGAGTCCAGAATTCAGTCATATCATGATTTAACCACATTATTATTATTATTATTATTAATGATTGAACATCCATATAATCATATCATCAGGAGGGACCAGTCACTGGAAAGATACCATGTTTGGTAAAGTGGAGGGTTGGAGAAAAAGAGGAAGACCCGAACATGATGGATTGATGTTGACACAGTGGTGGAAGTGATGGGCTCAGGCATAGCAACAATTGTGAGGGTGGCCCAGGACTGGGCCATGTTTCTTTCTGGGGTGCATAGTGTTCCTATGAGTCAGTGGCAACTCTAAGATACCTAACAATAACAACAACAATATCATCATATTATTATGCTAATAAGAATTTGTAAAAGAGTGATACATTACCTAGAGGAATTAAGCTACAGGCAAGATTATTTTGTTCAATACATACATTTAAGAAGATAATATTATTTGATGTATCAATTATTCTTTTGGTAATTCATCCATATAAAATATATTTGGTCAGACATGTGTATTATGTATACATCACGTGGTCTGGCTTAATATTAATTAATATTTTGTGGTAAAAATGAAGAATATGCAGCTTATAAATGGAAAGCTATATCTACATTTACAACTGCTTCTCTCTCTATATATATGTTGTTGTTGTTAAGTGCCATCGAGTCGGTTCCGACCCATAGCGACTCTGTACAGGGTTTCCGAGGGTGTAAATCTTTACGGGAGTAGAAAGCCTCATCTTTCTCCCGCGGAGCGGCTGGTAGTTTCGAACCGCTGACCTTAAGGTTCGCAGTCCGATTCGTAACCACTACGCTACCAGAGCTCCTTCTATATATATATATCCACACATAAATAGTAACCAAACCAGACTAGTTGCCATCAAGTCAGTTCTGATTCATTGCAACTCCATGTGTGAATTTTCAGAAATAGATAGCCAGGTCTTTCTTCTGAGGTACCTATGGATGGATTTGAACTTTACAACAATGCAAACGTACTGCTTCCTCATTCATCATCTTCTACACAAGAGCATTGCCCCAGAACATAGCAAGCATTAAGAAATCAAAATTTGAGATACAGTACATATAAATAGTGTCTTTCTCTTTAAAAGCAAAATGGTCTAAATACATTGATACACTACAAATAGGATGACAGGAATAGATTTCAAATGGCCCT